TAAGTATTTCAGAATCTTAATAGCAAAATTATTTTCTTATATGAATTTTGATTAAAGTTACTAACATAGCTCTAAACAAATACAAATTCAGTAAGCATTTTTTTTTATTACGTCTAGTCTTTTGTATTAGGACCAACTCTCTTCAAAGTGACTTTCTTGTACATTACTATAGTTTTCACTCTGTGTGTGTGTGTGTGTGTGTGTGTGTGTGTGTGTGTGTGTGTGTGTGTGTGTTACTGGAGATTGAAACACAGACCTTCACACTGAACTACATCCCCAGTCTTTTTAAATTTTCATTTTGAGACAGGATCTTGCTAAGTTGCCCAGTGCTAGAATCAAACTTCTAATCCTTGTGCCTCAGCCTCCTAGAGTTCACTCATTTTTATGATTAACAGAGCACCAGCTACTTCTCCCATTTCCCCCAACTCTGGGTGCTAGTTCCTGTTATAGTGGTCTACCTGCTAAAATATTTCTTCTTCTTCCTCCCCACCCCACCTCCTCCAAATCAATAGGGATGTACATAATGCAAGTCATATTGCCTAATTAAAGGAAAAAAATAAAGTGATATTCTTTGGAATTTATATGACAAAATGTAAACCAATTCTAGGTCAGCTTTACCCAATTTCTAAGATATGATTGATTTTAAAAGATTGACCCTTTCCTTTCTTGAAATAGCTTCAGAAATACCAGTTATTTTATTTGAAGGGGAAGAAATGAATTTTAAAATACTTTACTTTTAAATTTATTCATCTGGTTCTGTTTTCTTTTTAAAATTTGGATGCTTCCTTTTTTTTTTTTTTGGTACTGGGGATCAAACTTGGGTCCTTGTGCTTGTGCAGCAGGTGGCGAAACCACTGAGCTAAATCCCCAGCCCATTTGGATGTTTCTTGACTCCTGGCTTAAATGTTAATATTATTTGTTTGTTTATCTTAAGTATCTGTATGACTTATCTGTCTTCCCTTTGTATTCTGGGTTGTATTATGCAAATTATAACTGACTTACAGCTCACTTTATTCAGCACACTTTTCTGTTTTTAGATAAAAATTAAATAGTGTAAACCTAATGCCTAGTAGGCTGTAAGCTTCTTAAAGGTAAGAATCATATTTTCGTGTGTGCTTATGTCCTCGTGCACCTTGTACAGTGTTCCAGGACCTAGTTTAGATAGCGTTTGGTAAGTATTTCATGGATGTATGAAAGAGTGATTAATAATTATCGATCCCATGGGGATCGATAATTATTTCTGAAAGAGTATATTGATGCTAATGGGAACATCCTGTAGCAATCTAAAGAACTCCTTTATGGGAAGGTATTTGGACTTGTTGGCTTAATTTTTTCCAATATATTCCATAATATTGGTTAAGCGATAGGACTGTTTAAACCCAAATCCATGATTTGAAAACCTAAGCTCTTAACTGTGACTCTACTGTCTTTTTGAATATTCTTAAAGCTCCTTGAAAATATTACATCATTACTTTACTGGAATTGCACTAAAGTTAATTTGGGAAGAGTTGATATTTCCATATAACCTTTCTATTTATGAATAATTATATTTTTTCTATATCCATGTATTAAGTTTCTAATAATTTTTATGTTTCTTGCTGAATTTTAATCATGATACATATATTTTCTGTTATTTATTAGGAGTAACAATTTTTCTCGTTAAATTTTTCTAACAGATCGTTATTAATTTTTGCTTGTTGTTACATTTTCCCAGGCCAGGGGCTGGGGATTTAGCTCAGTGGTTCTGCCACCTGCCTTGCAAGTGTAAGGTCCCGAGTTTGTACCAAAAAAAAAAGAAAACTATCCCAGGCCACTGTGTGTTAGATATATGTTTTACACTATCATTTTACACGTTACACTTTTGTTTTTTCTCTTTATGTTTTTAAAATTTTGGTAAAATCTGTATGAAATAAAATTCAGCATCACAACCATTCCTAAGTGTATAGTTCAATAGTCTTAAGCATATTTATGTTGCTGTGTATCTGATTTCCAGAAGATTTTCATCTTACAACACTGAAACTCTGTATTTATTAACAACTGACTATTTTTCCCTCTGCCTAGCTCTTGGAACCACTATTGTACTTTTTGGGTCTATGAATTTGATTATAGTAGATATGTCATATAATTTGAATCATATAACTATCTTTTTTGAACTTGTTTATTTCAGTCAGCATATGTACTTAGTGTTCATCTATGTTATAACATGTATTAGAATCTCTTTCCTTTTTAATATATTCACATATCCCATTGTATGTATATACCACATTTGTTTATCCATTCATCCACTGATGAACATTTGCTTTGGACTATTGTGAATGTTGTGCTGTGAATATAGTTGTACAGATACCTCTTGAAGACCCTGCTTTATTCCTCTTGATATATACCCAGAAATACAATTGTTGAATCATACAGTAATTCTATTTGTAATTTTTTGAGGAATTACCATATTGTTTTCTATTGTAGCTGTACCATTTTAAATTCCTTCCAGCAGCGAACAAGTGTTCCAGTTTTTCCACATCCTCACCACAACTTTTTATATTCTGTTTTCTGAATAGTTTCCCATACTGAAGGGTGTTATCTTGTGTTATCTTAATGTGGCTTTGACTTGCATTTCTCTGATGGTTAATCATTTAGGGCAACTTTTCATATGCTTGTTGGCCATTTGTGTATCTTTTTTTTGGGAGCAATGACTATGCAAGTCTTCTGCCATTTAAAAAACAAAGTTTGTTGTTGAATTGTAGGAGTTCTTTATATATTCTGGACATTAACTCCTTATCTGACATATTTTTGCAAAAAATTCTTTTAGTAGGTTGCCTACTTTATTTTTTATGTCCTTTGATGCACAGAAGTTTCAAATTTTGAAGTAATCCAACTTAGCTATTTTTACTTTTGTTTCTTTTTTCTTTTTTTTTCTTTTGATGAGATATAATACGAACACAGTAAAGTGTGCTAATGTTAAGTATAAAGCTCAATGCATTTTTTATTAATCTGCTTTTTAAAGAAAAAAATGATAAAAATAAGAGAATAACAGTAGTTAAGACAGTGTGTATCATTATCTTCAAAGTAGTTACTCAAAATACAAGACATAAATCAAAAAGATTCTTACAAAAAAGAAACAGATAATAACATAAAACATTCTTTCTATGAACTAAGAAAAACTAGTATAAATGAAACAAATTAGCATATATATTAAATTATTTTTTAAACAATGTGTAATTTGGGGAAGTATTTGGATTTCCTATTTATCTCTCTTCTGCTTTGTTCTATATTTTTTTGTATGTATTTCTCATATAAGAGAAAACTTGTGATATTTGAGCTTGTGTATCTGACTTATTTCACTTAACATTATGGTCTCAAGTTGCATGCATTTAGCAACAAATATCTTAAGTTTGTCTTTGTGGTAGTATGGTACTCCATTGTGTATAAATACTACATTTACCTATCTGTTGATGGGTATATGCACTGTTTCTGAGATCTAGCTATTACAAGTTATAGTGCAGTAAACATAGATATGCATATATCCCTTTAATATGATAATTTTAACTCTTTTGGGAAGGTACCTAGAAGGGGGATAGCTGGGTCAAATAGAATTTCTGTTTTTAGTTTTTTGAGCAATCTCCACTTGGTCATCTCTTTCTTATCATCCTGGGAATTATCTTATTATCTCTTTTATTTTAGATCCTTGGTTTTCTTTTATTTTCCTGTTTTCCTAGGCATAGCCTCTAGTACCTGTTGATATTCTTGTGATACATTACAAAACTTAATTTCGAGAGAATTTTTACATCTTTATGATGTTGACTTATCCTATGTAGAACATAATCTTAGATATATTAAAATAAAAAGTTGCATTTTACAAGTGTTTTCAAGTTTTTTCTGATAATCATTTTATACCCTTTTTCTTAATTTTAATCTTAGATACTACATTGTTTTTGTTCTTATAAGTGGGACTTTATTTTTTCATTAAATAATCAAATTGACTATTTTAACGTAAGTAAATAAATACAAATACTTTTATATATGTGTGCACATTTTCCTGTTAGGTAAAATGGTACATTTTAGGTTGATTATACGTTCGCATATATATGTGTGATGATACAATCACAACATAGCTATATGCCATAACATTTTAGCTTATGAGTACTTTATCCTCTGAAATATACAGTTGGTATATAAAAATAAATCCTCATGATATCTAATACCAACTTTTTGTCAGATTAAATAGATTTCTGGTTTAGGTAACTGCCATGTTAGTCTAATCGGGGAAAGAAACATTCAGTAAAATTATGGCTGAGCATGAATTATAATTGGGAAGGCAGGATAAGCCCATATCTAGGAGGATCTTAAATATCAGACATAAGAAGTTATAATTCAAATTGCATAATTGAGAGTTATAAAAACATTTGAGCAGTTTAGAAGAAAATTTAGGAGAATGAATCTAATAACAGGAAATATAGAAAATTTTCAGTCTTTAACATTCAGTTGACTTTTTAAATAATACAATTTTTCTTCTCTGCTTAGGAAATTGAACTGAGCTCATTAAGGGAAGCTTTGTCTTTTGTGTCATTGATTGATGGATATTACAGACTGACTGCAGATGCTCATCATTACCTCTGTAAAGAGGTGGCACCCCCGGCAGTGCTTGAGAACATACAGAGCAACTGTCATGGCCCCATTTCGTGAGTACAGCAGATTATATAAGAAAATATTCTGCAGTCAGCCATCTATGTCTGAGGGCTCCACATTTGTGGATGAAACGGCACATTGAAAAATTATTTTTATTAGTATATGTTTTTAGTACATAATGAATTGATCTGTACTTTATTTTTTAAACAATAGAGAATAACAACTGTTTACATAGCATGTACATTGTCTTAGGTATTATCAGTAATCTAGAAATGATCTGATGAATATAGGAGGATATGGATGAGTTATATGCAAATTATGCCATTTTGTATAAGGGACCTGAGTGTCCACAGATTTTGATTCTGGAAACAAGCCTCCATGGATGCAGACAACTATAGATTTTATACAATAGATATAAGCTTAGGAGTTTTGAAAATACAGTATCATAGTTTCAAATTTTTTAAAAGAAGCCTGTTTACTAAGTCAGATTAAATATGAATTAGATTTATTTAAGACATAATATAACCATCTGTGTCTCAATCTGTAATACTTATAACTTGTACAAGTTTAACATTTAGTTGCTTATGCATGCTTAATTAACTCTTGGGTATTAATAACTCTTAGGTATTACAAAACAACAGTAACAAAAAGATGTGGTTGTGGCTCAGTGGTAGAATGCCTTCCTAGCATGCATGAAGCCCCTAAGGGTCTGAGTCTTAGCAACACAAAACAAACACATCTCCAATGTATATTTCATTAATTTTGAAATATTGCAAAAGAACCATAGAATTAAATTTGAAAATTGTCATTTTTTTATAATCTAATGACTTCTGCTAAAGCTTCAAACACAAAATGGATTTATGATGTTCCTATTTTTAGCCAGGTGTATACATAAAACATTTGTTTCACCTAAGTCCTAGTTATCTCTTAGCTAGTTTTGCTTTGTAATTGACATCAAATTTAAAGAATCTGGACAGAATAAAAATTTGGGATTGTCAATTTAACCTACCTCGAAATGTTTGAGAAAATTTTTGTATGTTAGATAATATTTAAGACTTGCCTCAGTCAATAATTAATGTCCACATAGTTGTAAGTACAGTTATTATGAAACATTGCACTATTTGAACATTATATAGGCAATATATATTATAATTACTTTTCATGGTCCTTGCATTCATTTTTCTACTCACCCATATATTCACTCAAGTATTCTTTCATTTATCTATAGAATATTTACTGAATACCTACTAAATGCAGGCACAGGTTTACACATATGAGAAATATGGTGATAAGTTAAACAAATGATTCCTACTTTCATATTTGTGTTTCTTTCAAGATGTGCAGTTTTAAGCCAAGGGTGGTGGTGCATGCCTGTAATCCCAGCACTCAGGAGGCTGAGGCAGGAGGATTGTGAGTCCCAGGCCAGCCCAGCCTAAACCATTTTGAGACCATTCTCAAAAACAACACAATACAAAAAAAGATGTGCAGTTTCAAAACTATATCACAAGTTTTAAAAGTCAATAATCTTTTTCAATTACTATAGGTCTTCTATTACACTTTGATTTTATACTAAATATTAAAACAATGCACATAGGTTTTTGTATTAGCAACTGCTATGATGGTTGAGACATGAGTAGTGTTGTTTTCTCAACATCAGTATGGTTTTAAAAATACTAAATTTGTGATCAGAAAGCAAAATTCAGAGGAATGAATTTTCTTTATGATTTTATCTCATAATTTTTATGTATTTTTATAATAATAGAATTGTCCCTGATTTAATTTGAACTTACTGCAAAATAGCTTGACACTTTGATTTTTCCCTTGAAAGTAATTGGGAAAAATAAAACAGGAAGTCTTCTAAAAATTGAGAATTTTAGATTTGGCTTTTGATTTTTTTGATGACATCTAGTCATAATGTTGTGGTACTTGCTGTGTTACCATTCAAAGTATTTCTTCTTTACCTTTAGAATGGATTTCGCAATCAGTAAACTGAAAAAAGCAGGTAATCAGACTGGACTGTATGTACTTCGGTGCAGTCCTAAGGACTTTAATAAGTATTTTCTGACTTTTGCTGTTGAGGTTAGTATGTTACATTTATTAATAGTAAACATAGTATTTACCCTATGTGCTTTATACTTCATATTTATGCACTATACATTATTTCTTTTATAATACTCAGAATTATAGCTTTTGATATGATAACTGGCATAATCATGTTTGGATTTTCTTTGGGGGGGGGTACCAAGGATTGAACTCAGGACCTTGCCCTTGTGAGGCAGGCAGCGGAACCACTGAGCTAAATCCCTGGCCCTAATCATGTTTAATTTAGCGTGAGGATTAGGCACAAGTAAACATAATTTCTAGGATTCACGTGAAAAATTTCTCTTTTTATTTGGTATTCATTTTATCTATCTACATATCTATCTTCCATCAAGTCTCTAGACATCTCTTTTTTCACAAAAATGGAAATCTTTAGCAAATTATATGAAACAAAATAAATCAGAAGCAAATTCTCTGTTAAGCAGTGGTTATTAAATTAGAGCAACATAGGCTCATAACAAAGAAATAGAAATATCATAACAATTTCAGCTAGTAATTTTCTAGAATGAAGAATAATGATCTACTATGTATATTTTAAGTAAAAACTGCAATAAACTTCACTGTTAGTGCAGATCATCTTCAATTTCATCTAAGATTATTTACTATCCAAAATTATTTTAAAAGTTATCATTTATATGGCAGTTTTATGGTATAACTCTTGAGAAACTATATATCAAATTTATAGGCAAGAATATTCTTTAACAGTATTATTACTCAATTGTTTTATTAAAGCAATCATCTTATAGCCAGTTTCTCTCCCACTCTTCACTTTTGCTTAGCACATGTAGAGAATGTTTTGTCTATAAATACAGAAGGTAGTTATTCCATCTCTTTACCATTGCCTAAAGTTGGTAGTCTATCCTAATTTCATAATGTTATTCATTATGTTAATAACATAATATATAGTCTATTGTAATGAATTATCAATTCAAAAAATATATATTTTACTGTTTATGTACCCAGCCTAGTATCAATAATATGTATTAGGGAATATACGATATAACCCTATCTTCAAGAAAATTACTTTAGGAAAAACGTACACCAAAAAATACTAAATTGAGTATCACAATTATCTACTATAGGCAAATAGAGACTATAACAGAAAAAAGTGTAGTTATTAACAAAGATCTTTTGGAGTAGGAAAGAATTGATGTTTTGTAAACAATTTAAAATATAATAAATATGCTTGTAAAAAGCAGCTCAAAAATATTAAGATTAATGAAAAGTTCATAATATAATGCATAAGAAATATTTTTTAACTGCAAAATATTTAAAATGCCATATCAGAGCTAATACAAATAAAATAGTGGTGTGATGGAATGAGTATTCACTGTTGCTTATAAAATGCAGTATTGTTAGAGAGTACCTCACAGAAAAAGCAGTACTTGAAGTGAGTTTTAAAGAATGAATGAAAGTTCACTACTCAGGAGAGCATGTCCATTCATAGTAGAGAGATAGCATAGTAGAGAGAATGCAGTAGAGAGCTATAGTTAATCAAGGCATGAAACAGTATGAAAATTATTTGAAATTATTTAAGACATTTAATATGGCTAGAAAGAAGTTTTTATGTAAGAAGTGGCAGGAGTTGAAGTTGGAGATGGCAAGACAAACAGCTCATGAAGGTTCCATTTGCTTCACTAGCTGTAGATTTTATCTTTTAAATTATGGAAAGCCATTAAGGATGATATTATTATTATTATTATTAATTCTTTCTTTCTTAATAAAATCAACTCTTGAGCCACTTTTGTAGACTATGATGCTATAATTAGATTCCGTTCTGAAGAACCAAGATCCTGTGTCACCATACAGAACCACATTAGGATTCACAGTTCTGTTGTCTGAATATTTTGTTGGTTGTTTTTGTGATATTCCTTTTGGCAGAATAATCATTTTGGAATCTTTTGTGATTTTCCGTCCCTCTCTTTATAATTAAACTCATATAGCGAGAAAATGTCATTGAATATAAACATTGTTTGATTACAAAAAATGAGAATAGAGAATACAACCTCAGTGGGACTAAGAAGAACTTCAGTAATCTTAAAGATCTTTTGAATTGCTACCAGATGGAAACCGTTCGCTCAGACAGTATAATTTTCCAGTTTACTAAATGCTGTCCTCCGAAACCAAAAGGTAAAATAATTTTCTACTTATTTTACAAATACCGTCAAGGATTGTGTCTGTCATTGGAGGTATCTTCAGTACATTGATTTCAAAATAAATATCAAAGAAGTAACTCCAAAAGCAAATTAATTTTGTCTTACTCCATTGTACAAGCATCATCAGATAAGGTAGTTTGGTATACAGTATTTGTAAGCAACTTGAAGTTCTGTTATTCTAGTATAAAATGACATTTTAAGGATAATTTCTTTTTTTTTTTGGTACCAGGGATCGAACTCGGGTCCTTGTGCTTGCGCAGCAGGCAGCGAAACCACTGAGCTAAATCCCCGGCCCTGATAATTTCTTGTTATAAGTCAGTTACTAACTTACTGAACTGGAAAAAATCTCACTACCAAATTTTTATGTGTTAAGAAAAATTTTCAGAGTTGGGGATTTAGCTCAGTGGTTTTGCCGCCTGCTGCGCCAGCACAAGGACCTGAGTTTGATCCCCGGTACCGGAAAAATTTTCATTCTGTTTTAGGATTTTAATTTTTTTTTAATTTTAAAAATGAAGATAGTAAGGTTGGAAACCCCGTGAATGAGTCTCATTTTTAAAAATTATTAAAACTTCTGGTAAAATTACACTAGTTAAGGAAGTAGGTATAATTTTGAATGTTTAAAATAATTGGTAATAGTATATCAAAGTTCCATTAATAAACTCCAAAAATAATTTTCTAGGAAAAAGATGAATAGTAAGTTATTAAGCATTTCTTACATGTACAACTCATTTTATTCTTTGTATCAATTCATATTTTCAGTGTGCTTTGAAGAGATGCAGACAGACACATCTATACATATATATATATATATTTTTACTATTTTTTTCCAGATAAATCAAACCTTCTAGTCTTTAGAACCAATGGTGTTTCTGATGTATCAACTTCACCAACATTACAGAGGCATAATAATGTGAACCAAATGGTGTTTCACAAAATCAGAAATGAAGATTTGATATTTGTAAGTGTAGATACAGATTACTGTGGGGTTTTTTTGTCCTTTTATAAAAACATCTGTTTTCTTAATTTCCTACCCTACATTACATTTCTGTAATATATGGAACTATTTTGTTATAACCTATAGTATAAAAATGTAGTTACTATCTAAACATTTTTATTTATTATGAAAAATATACTAACCTTTGTAAGAAATTAGCAAAATTATTTTTAAGAATGAAATTATATTCTTTTCAGAATTTAAAAATATTTCTTTACAAATCTTAAATTAAAAATTAGATAAGTCCCACATCTTTACTCTCAAGTTCTCATGAAAGTAAGGAAAATTCAACAGATTGAAAATAAATAAGAAACTGAAAACAAAATAGTATATAAGAGCGATGATTTAGCTATCAGATGGTTTGAGTGGAGATTAGTCTCATCACAGGGGTTCAAACTAAAAGCAGTGCAAAGAAGGTCTTGAGCCTGTGAATTGCTAGGAGTTAAAAGTAAGAGCCTATATTACTGAATAAAGCCAGGACCCTCACGAATATACATGTTATATTGTCAGAGGGTTCAGTCCGTGGTTGGCTGGCTCTAAGGCAGAAATGGCTTGGCAGAAAAGCCTCATGGAGGAAAGCTGCTCCATGGCAGCCAGGAAGGAGAGCTATAAACCTCCAAAGACACGCTTCTAGTGATTTGCCTGCTCCAACTGGGCCCTACCTCCTAAAACTACATTAAGCTATCGATGGATTAATCCATTGATAAGTGCAGTGTGTCATGATCCAATCACTTTCCACTTCTGAACACAAGAGACTTTGGGGGGACATTTTAGATATAAACCATAACACATCTTCAGTGAAACAACATAAGAAATGTGAATAATTTACCCACTTGCAAATGGAGGGATAAAGAAAGGAAATAAGAAAAAAATGTTATATATTTTAGTTGGAATCTTAGGACAAAGAACTTCTAAGAATTTATAATGTAAACATTTTGAATTTGGGTTTCTTTATATACTACCTGTATGATCTGAGAAACACTAAGCCAACATATTAAAAGTGGTACTCCTCTGATATCCTATCATGCATGAGGAAAACAAATACAGATCTTTCTGGAACAACATACTCTTAAGTTAGGCTACCCAGATTTACCATGGATAAAACCACTCCAAACATGAGTTTTTAGTCTGAATTTAGAAACATAGAGGGAAATAATGTAGGATTAAGTAAGAATCAGCAGATCAAACAGCAAAATTATACTTTTAAGAATGGCATATAATATTCAGAGACTATAAAATACACATGTGTGCTTAAGAAATAAGAGAAATTGAAAACATGCAAAAAAACATTTAAAAATGAAAGACATTATTTTAAAAGAAATTTGAGAGGTGGGTGTGGTGGCACACACTTGTTTGTAATCCCAGCATTCAGGAGCCTGAGGCAGGAGGATTGCCACAAATTCAGCTTGGGCTACAAAGTGAGTTCAAGGCCAGCCTAAAATACATACAGATAAATAGTGACTGTTAAAAAAGTCGTAATTATAGCCAGTGCAGTAGGCTTTAAAACAGGGTGGAACCAAAAATACACTTTATTCATTAATCCTTGTCTTCTGTCTCTAATGACTGTTTAAAGTAGAAGAAATTAATTTGGGAATCTCACGTAGGTTTAGTTTTTAAGGGAAATATTTACTCATGGCTTTTAAAAAAAAGTTTTGTCATTTAATATATTTCCTAATTCCCCTATTTCTCCATCTTTGGTCAATTCTCTTCTTACTTATCCTTTTTTTCTTTTAAAGAATGAAAGCCTTGGCCAAGGGACTTTCACAAAAATTTTTAAAGGAGTAAGAAGAGAAGTAGGAGACTATGGTCAACTTCATGAAACAGAAGTTCTTTTGAAAGTTCTGGATAAAGCACATAGAAACTATTCAGAGGTGTGTATGTTCTTTGGATAGTCCGTGCAGTTTGTACTATATGTGCATTCATATGCATGTAACCTTTATGCATGCAGCTATGCAAAATTATAATTTTAAAATATACCAAGCAACTTTTGAGGATACTTTTTGATGATGCTGTAGAAAATTATAGATTTTAAAAATAGCTTATTTCCAAACATATTCCTTTTAGCTTTGTATTATGAGTATTATTATATCTCTGCAACAATAATACATCTCTGAGGCAATGTCTTTTAAACTTGTTAAACTTGGCACTCCAGAGCTTTATGGGTTCCATAGAGGTTCCTCCACAATTTCGTCTCCTAAAAAAAAGAAGATTGAAAGGCACTATACTAAGGAACACTGAGTAAAATATTGATGCCTCGGGTTGTCATCCAGAGGTGCTAACTGGCAGAAACCCAGCAGTCAGTTGCCAGAGTCCTGATCATAGCAAGACATCACCAAGGATGACAAAATACACATTTATGATACTTTGAATGTCTTAAGAGATGTTAATGGAAGATGATGTGAAACATATAAACCAGAAAGTTGTTCTAATCCAGAAGGTCACAGTGTTGGTGATTATGATCCCCTGAACAATCATTCCTAGAAGCTTCTGTCAAAGGTTAGTTGAGGGCCAGGGATTTAGCTCAGTGGTTCTGCTGCCTGCCTTGCAAGTGCAAGGACCTGAGTTCAATTCCTGATTCCAAAAACAATAAAACTAAAGTTAGTTGAGTTAGAGGATGTTAATACCATGTCAGTATCCTGACATAGGTATGATGATATTATCTGCATGGAGACCATTATTTATTTTAAATTATTTAGGAACCATTATATGAAGCTCACATCCATCTATCACAGTCCCATATTACTGTGTCTGGTTTTGCCTCTATTTGTGCCTGTTCTCTATTCCTGGTGTTACAGGTCTCAGAGTGTTTGACTTGTATCATTCATGGTACCCACTACCACCGTTGCTTACTCTCATTGGTGTGTCTATATTCTAAGATTGCCTGGGGGTTTACTAAAAATGAACCCTAACATCAAGTTGATGGCAGCTGCAAATCCATATGAAGGGACCAAATCACATTGTAATCATATCTGAAGTCCTGCTAAGAGTAGGAGAAAGTACATTTCATTTTTGGCAGAGAGTATCTTTCTGAATGTTGTATACTTACAACAGTCAAACAGCTGGGCATGGTGGCATATGCCTGTAATCCCAGTACTCAGGAGGCTAAGGCAGGAGGATCATCACAAGTTCGAGGCCAGGCTGGGCTACATAGTGAGCTCAAGACCAGCCTGAAGTACATGGCAAGACCTTGTCTCAAAAAGCAAAACAAAGCAAGAATAACCAAACAATAATTCTTTTGCATTTGTTATTTTCTTTTCCTTAGTCTTTTTTTGAAGCAGCAAGCATGATGAGTCAGCTTTCTCACAAGCATTTGGTTTTAAATTATGGTGTATGTGTCTGTGGAGAAGAAAGTAAGTAAAACCACTGGCTTTCTTATGTTAAATTATGCCTCTCAATGAATCCATTGTTGCTTATATAAAATTTCAATTTAAAGATCACAAATATTATAAATTTTAATTCAATAGGAATTAAATATTGCTGAATCTAAAAACATTATAGGACTGTTCAGTTATGCTTGTGAAAAAGGAAATCAATAAATGAAGTTAAATTGCAAAAGACAGTTAATATAACTAATGTTACAATGCCAAAACAATAGCATGTTATAGTAAACAAATACAGCTTTTTGTGTTCATCATAGCAGTACAGATTATGGCTAGTTCAAACATAACATTGGAACAACTGGCCCTTTCAGTACAAAATTATTTGGAATTATGAAAATAAAGCATATAAATGATAGGCTGAATTATTAATGGAACTCACTGAAATTGATATTGATACTAGATACATTTTTCAGATGTGATGGAATAATGATTTATATAATATATATTATGTCATGCTTATAAGTACATGTAACTATATCATATATATTTGTTTAGATTAATATGTCTTGGTGATATAAATAAACCCAAAACTGAAAGATATGTTATATATCTATTGTTTCCTTTAAATTAGTGAATTTTGCTTAATTTCTTTATCTTATATCCACATACAAATATAAACATTTTAAATGTATAAATTATATATTTTAATTGTATATATACTGGAGCCTAATTATTGCCTATATTTTAATGCAGATATTCTGGTTCAGGAGTTTGTAAAATTTGGATCATTAGATACATATCTGAAAAAGAATAAAAATTCTATAAATATATTATGGAAACTTGAAGTAGCTAAACAGATGGCATGGGCTATGCATTTTCTAGTAAGTAATTAGTGTGTTCTTTTTTATGAAAACGTATTGTTTTATCTTATGAATCTAGAAGTCATCTCGGCACCAAGAAATCTGTGAATAGATGCTGAATATTCATTCAGAATAGGTCTGGTGGTGAAAGGGATTATTTTAGACATGTATTTATTGATGTAAAATCCTTTTTGAAAGAAACAATTTTGTAATCCTATCATCTCTTAGAACTACTTATAGACAATCTTTAGTTTGTGTCACTTGGGTCTATAAAAATTAACCTGAATTTATGTTGAAACATGTTGTGTTTTTATGAATAACAGAAAATACATTTTTATTGTATCTGTGGGCAATTGGACATTAGCATTCAGTGAGAAAGAAGTGTGGACAGAGAAGCAGAGAACCATAGGGCTACCCAGTTCCTACTCCTCAGAATGTACCTGTGTTCTGTTGAACTGAAAATATTTCCTACCGTCTTGAAATACAAACTAATTAGGGTCTCAGGTTTGGAAGGTGGAGTAACACTGGGTAGCTTTAATTTATTCATTTCATCATGGGTATAGATCATGTGTCAAATGACATATAAAACAGGAAGTGCTGTCATAAAACTTCCTTTTATTGTCTTAAAGCATGCCTCCAAATTAATGTTTACATTGTTATCTTACATATTTTCTTTAATCTACATTGGGGCCTTGAATATATTAAATACTCAAACATTTGTGGAATGATGTTTGAATGTGTGTGCATTTAATTTTAATAGGAAGAAAAAAACCTTATTCATGGAAATGTATGTGCCAAAAATATTCTACTTATCAGAGAAGAAGACAGGAAGACAGGAAATCCTCCTTTCATTAAACTTAGTGATCCTGGCATTAGTATTACAGTTTTACCAAAGGACAGTAAGTTCCATATTTAACTTTATTAAATATTACTTGGATAATACCATTAAAAATGTTAATTTTCCTTGAACTCTAATTTTTTGATATTTTCTTGATTAATAGCATATAGCTGTCACTTGCAATTTAAATTAAATTACAGTTATATCCTCATCTCTGTCCATTTCTTCTTGGAAGTATGTCATCATGAACTGTGAAATAATTTGAAAAACAGTTTTAATTCATAATCATCTATGGTAGATAGGATCTTATTCATATTTAATGTGAAATTTTCTAATATTATTCACTGGGCCATGGTAAATTTTTTTTTTTTTTTGGTACCAGGGATCAAACTTGGGTCCTTGCGTCTGCAGGGCAGGTGGCAGAACCTCTAAGCTAAATCCCTGGACCTTAAATTTTTTTTTTTTCTTTTTTGATACCGGGGATCGAACTTGGGCCCTTGCGCCTACAAGGCAGCAGCGGAACCACTGAGCTAAATCCCCGGCCCAGCCATGGTAAATTTTTTAAAAAATTTCTTTATTCACTAAAATTTTTTTGAAAATAAAATATTATTTAGCTTGATATCTTATTTATTCAGCTATCTCTGACATTTTAAGTTTTTTAGTATATGTGCTGCCGAAGCGAGCACAAACATTTTAAGTTTTTAAAAATTTTCTCTTGTGTCTTTATTTTCTACATGATATAGTAAGTTAAAAGTAAAAATGTCAGTCAAATGTTGAGAGCAGTTTTTTTGGTCTAAATAATGTTATAATTGTGTTTCATTATCTTAGCTAATTTCTCTATTTGAATATTCTAAATTTAGAATATAAATAGATTAATTTTTGTGGATTGATGTGTAGTATCCTATTTGAATCAGTATACTTAAACTTGATGGCTTATTCAATAGTGAAGATAATAATATTAGGATAGTAGTATGTGAAGAAAATTTTCTAGCATATTAGTTCTACTACCCAAGGAAATTTGATCCTTTGGAATGAATGGTAAACATGGAGAAAAATATATTCATATGATCAAGGAAAAGGGAATCAATGACCTCTTTCATCTCTTGATTATACGCAAAAGTACTTGCACTGCTTTACCAAAATATATAACAGGTTATCTTTCATTCTTACCTGTTTATCTATGTCAGAATACCACCTTTCCACAGAAACCTTTTTTGGTACTGAGGATTGAACTCAGGACCTTCTGCTTGCGAGGCAGATGGTGGAACCTCTGAGCTAAATCCCCAGCCCTCATCACAGAAACTTTACTTGGACAATTTTATGATCTAACTACTAGAAATGTATCAGTTCCATACCTAGAATATCATTCATCTGCTGTAATGATAAATGCCTGTTGTCATTATGTGTCTGCAAGTAAGAATGGCCACTATTATTAAATCATTAAAACATCATCAATATTGTAACATTACTTTTACTATTTACATATTGTAAAGATATAAAAATATATTGAGAAGAAATATTAAGACAAGTTTTATAGATCTTTTACTTTTTTTGAAAGGCGAACTGCTAAGAAGAGGCAGAGAAAGTGGGATACCAGTTGAGACACAAAACTTGATTATGGAAGTGAATCTGAAAACTAGTTGTATATAAAATAATTGTTTACTTGTAGAGATTATTTAACTATTCTTTGTTCCTATCATTTAAAAGTTCTTCAGGAGAGAATACCGTGGGTGCCACCAGAATGCATTGAAAATCCTAAAAATCTAAATTTGGCAACAGACAAATGGAGTTTTGGTACGACTTTGTGGGAAATCTGCAGTGGAGGAGATAAGCCTCTGAGTGCTCTAGATTCTCAAAGAGTAAGTTGATATAGACTGAAGTTAGAATTACTATCTCTGTAATCCATCATATTTCTTTTACAGATTCAATATTTTAATTTTTAAAGCACATCTTAATTTTTTTTTTTTTTTTGTGGTACCGGGGATCGAACTCAGGTCCTTGCGCTTGTGCAGCAGGCAGCGAAACCACTGAGCTAAATTCCCGGCCCCTGCACATCTTAATTTTAAAAAGAAGTTTGGTACAGAGTTGTACAATTTATTCTTAATATTTTATTCTCTAATCTTAGAAACTACAGTTTTATGAAGATAGGCACCAGCTTCCTGCACCAAAGTGGACAGAATTAGCAAACCTTATAAATAATTGTATGGATTATGAAGCAGATTTTAGGCCTTCTTTCAGAGCCATCATACGAGATCTTAACAGTTTATTTACTCCAGGTGTGTATTGATCACTATTCATCTTTGTTGTATTTAATGAATGTTTACTAATTTTGTAATCCCTTTTCAAAAGTTCTGTATCATCTCTTAATTTCTTATGTTCATATATGATTTCTTATGCATTATACATATTGAAATCTCCTTGCACAGTCTTAAGGCCTTTTTCTCCCTCAAGAGCCCATTTATTTATTTATTTATTTATTTATTTATTTATTTATTTATTTATTTGAATAAGAAAAAGAATAGCTGGGTGTGGTCCCAGCACTGGGGAGGCTGAGTTAGGAGTGTGGCTGTGAGTTCGAGGCCAGCTTGGATTACATAGTGAGTTCAAGGCCAGGCTGAACTATATAGTGAGACCTTGTCTCAAAAAAAAAAAAAAGAAGAAGAACATACAAAACTTACTGCATACCTATGTTACACTCATACCTAGTTTGCCAATTAATGGAAAGCACCTTTATTTGGCTGGATCAACTTTTTAAGAACAACTCTTTTGGTTTTTAAGTAGTTGCCATATAGTTTACAATTGATTCATTTTCTAAACATGAGGTAGATTTTTTTTGTTTGTTGTGACCTTTAAAATATTGAGATAAATATACATGTGGTTGACCCATAGGTACTTCTTGCTTCAGTATTACTTACCATTCTCACTACAAAAAAATCAAAATATGACCTTATTTCGTGAGTACTACCTAGTTTAAAACTACCTAGTTTAGAAAGTAATCGTTTATTCTTTCCAAAGTCTTTCTCAAAAGCTATCAAATTGTGGGTAATGAAGACTTTAATTAGTATAATTTAAACCATTTGAATTTCCCTGTATCAAATGTATTTCTAACTCATTCTGGCTATTGTGTCAACTTGAATGTATATCAGTTTAAGCTGAAGAATGTGTTTGCCATCTTAAGCTAGTGATACTCCTTTATCTCCAGATTATGAACTATTAACAGAGAATGACATGTTACCAAACCTGAGGATAGGTGCCTTAGGGTTTTCTGGTGCTTTTGAAGACAGAGACCCTACACAATTTGAAGAGAGACACCTAAAATTTCTACAGCAACTTGGCAAGGTAAATTGTTTTAAGTTTTGCAAGTAAAACGTAGTCATATACCCTTTTATTTAGGACCAGAAAAGGCTGCAAAGAGTCTCCAAAGTGCACTTCCTATGAAAATTTTAAGGGATATTTGTTAAAATGTTGTTTTATAAAAAAGGAGCCAGTTGCCAAATATTAGAAAAAAGCTATGCTACATAAACAGCTTTCTTTACTGAAGAATTTAGAGCCCTTAACACATAATGTGCATTGAACTTCAAGAGGATAATAAATTAGGCAGTTCTTTCAGAATTGATTTGACCATGAGCCCTTTGCTCAACAGGAAGAGTTTGCAGTTATTATAAGCAAATCAGTGCAATAGAGAAAGGAACATTTCAGTCTTTTTATCTGCCTTTCTACCTTTGGTAATCTCATGCTTATGACCTAGAATGTTGACTGGACTATGTTCACTGGCAGAGTATTAAAAAGTTGTATAGTCATGTGTAGCCTACATATTGTAAGTAAAACCAGAAAAGGTTCAATTCTTAGCAGGACTAACATTGTGCTAAACTTTATTTTTCTTTCTTTCTTTCTTTCTTTCTTTCTTTCTTTCTTTCTTTCTTTCTTTCTTTTTTTGGTACGGGGGATCGAACCTGGGTCCTTGCGCTTGTGCAGCAGGCGACAAAACCACTGAGCTAAATCCCTGGCCCATAAACTTTATTTTCTTAATCTTCCTAATATAGAATTCAGTACTGTCTATCGTTATGAATTAATTTCAGCATGTATGCAATATGAAAGGCTCTCTTGGCCTTAAAACTAAATGTTCTATTTAAGTTTTACTAGAGCTAAACATTGGGTGTTATATTAAAGAATTGACTTATATCAGTACTTTGCTCTTTGCTGTTGTTTCTTATTTATTCATCTTTTACTTTGTAAATACTCTTGGGAATATCTGAAGACATATAGAGCAACAGGAGAAAAAGTTCAGGTATTTGGGTGTTTTAGTTTATATATTGCTAACTTAAAACTTAACAGCCCAAAATAACAAATATTTGTTATCCCCAATTTCTGTAAGTCACCAGTCTGGGAACAATTTAGTTGGGGTTGAACCCAGCCATACAGCTGGGGTTGTATAATCACAAGACTATAATCAGGGTGTCAGCCATACCATACACTCTCATCTGAGGCTTGACTGAGGAAGATCTCCTAGTTCACTCATATAGGGTTATTGACAGGCCTCAGAAGATCTGCTTGCAAGCTTACTGTACATACCTCTCCACGGAGCTGCATTACAACATAGCAGCTGAAAGCAAACACCCAAGATAGAAGGCAGGGTCTATGACCTAACCCCAGATAGCATTTCATCACTCTTGCCACAGTCTATTGCAAGCTGACTTGCTTTATTGACTTATAAATCTAGTCCACATACTCAAGAGGAGGAGATTATAGAAGACAAATGCTAGAAGGTGAGGACAATTGAGAAACATCTTAGAGGCTCCCAATCAAACTGGCTGACTTAGCCATAACTCCATATTGCTACCATCAACTTTTTGGTAGTAGATAGTGTGTCCAAAACTTATCAGACCATGGAAGACTTTTTACTCCCCTCATCAGATATCTGTGGATATCTCATGGAAAGTGTTCTCTAGAACAGTTTGGGAAATGATGCCTTAGATGTAAGAGTAATCTCTTCATATTATGATGAGAAAAATTGAGGTACAGAGATGTTAAATAACTTGCTCATGGTCATACAGCAAAATGTTAGCAGATGTGAAATGGAGCTTTTCTTTCCTTGCTCCTATTACCATGTTATGTCTGTTGTACCATATAAGTATTTGATTGTGTGTGTGTGGGTATGCTTCAGCTGCAGTATCATCTTCCAGTATCTTTTCGTGACAGGCCATATATTATACTAATAATATATAAAATAATTCTTATTTTCATTCAGAAATTTTATCTTGATCCAACAGCAAAGACAAAATTGTTTATGGAAAAGGAAGCAATTAGTGTAATACAATTTATTTGTGGGTTTATTGTTGAATACATATCAATTTTTTGTTGGTTGTATACAAATATTTTCATGGCCACAAACACTAGTCATTGGATCAGTGATCAAAGACATTGGTCATAAAATCATGAAAGCTGTAAAAATTTTTTTACTCATGATTCTGAACAAATAATTTATTTTCTCCAGTCCTTAGATTCAACCTTTAATGGGTATTTTATCTTTTGTAGAGAGTTTTTCTGGTAAACTAGAAACTTTTAGAAAAGAACTTCCAATTTATTTGAAATAAAAGGAAATTTAGTGAAATTTCATTATCTTCAAGTGAAGTTTCATTATCTTCAACTGATAATATTTTAATTAGATTTTAGTTATCTTATATCTTTTGTTTTGTTTTGGTATGGGGGATCAAACTCAGGACCTTGTACTTGTGAGGCAGGAGGCGGCACCACTGAGCTAAATCCCTGGCCCATCTTTTCTTAATTTTTAGCTCCTAACATAAGTATGTAAATGAATCACACAGTGAAGTCAAACAATGTATATGATCATAATTCGGTAATATATATTGATATTTAAGAAACGGATATAAAAAAGAATACATTTAAAACATCACTGATTTAGATAACAAAGAAAGATCAGCAGACTATTCCTTTTATTTCTTTCTCTTGTCTGATTGTTTTGGTTCAAGTTTTGAGTACTATATTGAATGGAATAAACACCCTTTCTTGTTCCAGATTTTAGAAGGAATTCTTTCAGATTTTCCCCATTTAATATGATGTTGGTTGTGGGTTTATCATAGATGGTATTTATCATTTTGAGTTATGTTCCTTCTATAGCTATTTTCATGAAGGGATGTTGGATGTTTTCAGCATTTGTTGAGATAGTCATGTGATTTTTTCTTTGATTCTATATATGTGGTGCATTATATTTATTGATTTACATGTATTAAACCATCCTTACATCTCTGTCATTAAACCAGTTTAGTCAAGATAGTAGATTTTCTTAATGTGATATTGCATTGCATTAGTAAGGATCTTATTATTAAGGATTTTTGGATCTGTGTTCATCTAGGGTGTTTAATCTATAGTTTTCCTTTTTTGTTGAGTTCTTATCCAGTTTCAGTATTGGGGTAATTCTGGCTTCATAAAACCCAATTTGGGAGAATAACTTCCCTTTCTATTGTGGTGGAAAAGTTAGAGGAGCATAATGTTAGTTATTTAACTAACTAGTAGAATTCAGCCATAAATCCATCTGGTCCTGGGCTTTTCCTAAAAAGTATTAATTAATGCTTCAATTTCATTACTTGTTATTGATCTGTTAAGATTTTGTATATTTTCATAGCTCAGTTTAGCTCATATGTGTCTAAGAATTTGTCAATTTCTCCCAGACTATCCAATTTGTTGGTATATAAATTTTGAAATTATGATTACTTGTGGGTTTCAGTGGTATCTGTTGTAATTTAACTTTTTATTTCTAATTTTATTAATTTGGGTCTTCTCTTTTGGTAAATTTTACTGAGGACTTATCAATCTTATTTATCTTTTCAATGAACTAATTCATTGATTCATTGACCTTTGTATTTTTAAATTTTTCATTAATTTCCACTCTGATCTTTATCGTTTCCTTCCTTCTGGTGGTTTGGGGTTTGGTTGGTTCTTGCTTTTCTGGAACCTTGAGGTTCATCATTAGGTTATTTATTTGAGTGTGACACTTTCTTCTTCTTAGAGCCTATTAGGTACCTTCTATATTTAGCTGTTTCCTTTCCTAGATGGGTAGATTTCCTGGTAGATTAAACTCTGCTTTTAGTAGTATCCACAATTATATTACCCTTCCTTCACTTGATTACTTGCTTCACTTTTCTTGTCATTTCCTAATGTAGGAACAATACAAATTTAAATTTTTTTCCATTTGTACTTCCATCTGTCATGTGATAAATAAGATATAAATGTTTATCTACATTGCAAAAAGTAATCTTTAACACTGGCTAGGTACTTATTCTTTTACTGTGGCACTTTTACTCTCCCTTACATGCTTTCTTTGTTCCCATGCCATTCCCTTCTAGTTTCTTATTCTAAATATTTTTTCATGCTCTTAGCATTTGCCTTCACCATCTTCTGAAATATAGTTGAAGCATTTGAAATTAAAATAGTAACTGATTTTTGCCAATAAAATTGACAAATTGCAGAAAAATTATAGTGGCCAGTGTTGGTGGAGATGTGATAGACACTTTTCCATTGTTTATTAGAATACAAATTGCTTCCCCTTTTTAGAGAGCTTCTGATGCAGTAGATGTTAAGGGATTTTGAAATGCCTTCATCTTTTGAACAGCCAACTCTTAAGTATCCTTAATATAGATGTATATAGACATTTATGAATATGAATATCATTACAGTGACATGAGCATATTTTAAAATCTTTTTAGCAGACATTATTTCCAATTTAAATGATTGCTACATTCACTGACAGCATATAGTAATTAAAATCATATTTTTAAGGACTATATAATGTATAATGGCACTGGAAAATAAATTTTGACACATTTGTTAAGTAAGGGGAAAGGATATAAAACTTATTCCCCAGTTTTATTTTTGAAATATCTTTTAGAATGATGTCTGACAACAGTGAAATAAGACAGACATTTATCCTCCATTTTTTTTTTTTTTTGGTACTGGGGATCAAACTCGGGTCCTTGCACTTGCACAGCAGGCGGCGAAACCGTTGAGCTAAATCCCTGGCCCCTATCCTCCATTTTAAGGAGGAACAAACAGGTGTTCAAAGAGGGAAGTAAATTGCGCAGGGCTACAAAAACAGTAAGTAGTGACCAAGATTCTAAATCTAGTCTGACTCAAGAGTCCCAGATCTTATTTACCTTGCTGTGGCCTTCTGAACTCTTCATTAGAGATTTAATTTAGAAAAATATATATTATTTTTTGTATATATCATTTTTTTTTTTTGGTAATGGAGGTTAAGCCTTGAGCCTTTCTTTTCACTAAGCTATATCCCAGCCTTTAAAATTTTTATTTTTTTAAATTTTGAGACAGGGTCTTGCCAAGTTGCTAAATTGTCAAGGCAGAACTGAAACTTGCAGTCTTTGTGCCTCACCCTCTCAGAGCGCTAGGATTATAGGTGTGTGCCATCACGTCCAGCTAAAGTCTTACTTTCTTAAACAAATAAATGTCACTGTATTAGTCTGCTTGGACTGCCATAACAAAATACTGTGGGATGCGTGGGTAGTTTAAAAAAATAACATTGCTAGGCCGGGGATTTAGCTCAGTGGTTTCGCTACCTGCTGCGCAGGCGCGAGGACCCGAGTTCAATCCCTGGTACCAAAAAATAAAAATAATAGTTTGATCCCCGGTACAAAAAAAAAAAAAAAAGGAAAAAATAAAAATAAATAAATAACATAACTCACAGATCTGTAGGGCTGGAAAGTTCAAGATTAAAGTTTCATCAGCTTTTGGTTTCTGTTTAGGCCTCTTCTTTTTTTTTAATTAATGTATTTTTATTAGTATGTGTTTGCAGTACCTAATGATTACATTTATCATGGGGAATTTGCAGATGTGTAGAACACATTCTTTTTTATGTCCTCTCATCCTTCCCTGCTCCCTCAATTCTTAATCTCCTTTCCATTTGAAAAGTTTTATTTCCATTTTTTCTTGCTCTCTTTTTCAATCCTTTTTCCTTTCCTTCTCTCTCCCCTGTATCTCTTGTTCCCCTTGCCATTTGAAAAAGATCTCCTTACTTTCCATTATCCTTTATTTTGCTCTTTATTTATATTTTGAGTGTCTCATATAAGAGAAACCACGCGATATTTAAACTTGTGTGTCTGATTTATTTCACTTAACATTATGGTCTTCAGATGCAACCATACACCTATAGATGCCTCAAGTTTATCCTTACTGCAGAATAGTACTCCACTGTGTATAAATGCCACATTTCTTTATCCATTCAACTGTTGATAGATGTATAGGCTATTTCCCAGATTTAGCTATTAAAAATTGTGCTGCTGTAAACATGGGTATGCATGTACAACATGCATGTATGCATGTATCATGGTAAATATGATTATTTTAACTCTTTTGGGAAGATTACTAGAAGGAGTCAAATGGAATTTCAATTTTTAGTTTTTTGAGGAATCTCCATACTGATGTTCATAGTGGTTGTAGTCATATATACTATCACCAACAATGTAAAAGAGTTCCTTTTTCCTCACAGCCTCACTAGCATTTCTTATTATTTGATTTCTTGATGATAGCTATTTTTTCAGAAGTAAGATAGTATTTCAGTTTCATTTCAATTTGCCTTTCTTTAGTGGCCAGCAATGTTGAACATTTTTTGTGTATTTATTGGCCATCTGTACTTCTTCTTAGGCCACTTTTCTTGGCTTGCAAATGGCCACTTTCTTGGTATGTCCCCATAGGAGAGAAGGCTCTGGTGTTTCTTCCTGTTATTATAAGGGCAGCAGCCGTATTGCATTAGAGACCCGCTTTTATATCCTCTCTTTACCTTTATTACTTCCTCACAAGGCCTTATCTCAAAATACAATCATACTGGAATTAGAAGTTAATCAGATAAATTTTGAGGGGGCATAGACATTGATTCCATACCAGGCCTTTATTTCATCTGGATCACTAATAGTAATATCAAAGGATACACTGTATTTATGGTTTTTTGGTTTTTTTCTCAGTACCGGGATTCGAGGATACATTGTAAAGAAGGAAAGTTCTTCCTGAAAATGGTGATAGAAATTTAGGAATCCTCTAGCATGTCTATTTACTTATCCTAATAATTCATGTTTATCATTTTATCACATCCCTTTTTGAAGTACTTTAAGTTTTAGTCTGTAATTCTTCTTGAAGAAATTAAATTTATAGGCTTACTACTACCCACCTGTTGAGATAGTATTTCCTTTTCTTGCTCAAAAAGTTGCCTTATATTAGCTTAGATATATGTCTACTAATTCTTGCAACTAAGGTTTCCTGTATTATAAGAATTGATTAATATTTTGTCTTGAAAACTTGAGGTTTCCCTTCCTAATGTAGCATGTTCTTTAGGGTAATTTTGGCAGTGTGGAGATGTGCCGGTATGACCCTCTACAGGATAACACAGGGGAGGTGGTAGCTGTGAAAAAGCTCCAGCACAGTACTGAAGAGCACCTCAGAGACTTTGAAAGGGAAATTGAAATCTTGAAATCCCTACAGCATGACAACATTGTAAAATACAAAGGAGTCTGCTACAGTGCTGGTATGTTGCCCATTAAGCCTATTCTATATTTACAGTATGTCTTTGGCATCCTGGGTAGTAGAAACATATAATGTCTAAAGATCTGGACTTAACCATGTGCCAGTACCCAGAGAGATATGCACTCTATATGACTAGAGATTGTGTGTGGTGATCATGGACTGTAACTACAAGAAGTTTTCAGCTAGTTGATTATTTTCACCACTTGCTTAAGCTAAAGAGAATTTTGTTTTGTTAAAAAAGTATATATTTCCTTATATATTTTATCAGAATAATATTTTTAAATTGCATGTTTTAGTTCAATATAATGAGAAAAGTTTTCTTATCAACTTATGGTTTGGCTGAAGAATTAAAGAAGTCTAAAACATAATTATTTTTAGAGCTTCTCTCCAAAATTTTTGAATGCAAAGACCCTGTAATACTACATCATCTTTAATTTTACAATAAAATGTTATCATCGTAGACCTGCGGGGAAGGGAGAGACTGTTTATACAGTATTGAAATAGTAAATTATATCAAAGTATAAACATTCTGTTCCATCTGTGTATTCAAAGGCCGGCGTAATCTAAGATTAATTATGGAATATTTACCATATGGAAGTTTACGAGACTATCTCCAAAAACACAAAGAACGGATAGATCACAAAAAACTTCTGCAGTACACATCTCAGATATGCAAGGTACCTAATATTCTGGTTATATGTTGTAGATGGAGTGAGAATGTTGAAGTAATTAATAAATTCTTTACACTATTTCTTAGCTTAAAAAGGGAATTTATGGAGGTAGAGCCATTTAAATTTGTTTATACAACTAGTTGAAAGAAGAATGCTATCTTAACCATAGGGTATGGAGTACCTTGGGACAAAAAGATACATACACAGGGATCTGGCAACAAGAAATATATTGGTGGAGAATGAGAACAGAGTTAAAATTGGAGATTTTGGATTAACCAAAGTCTTGCCACAAGACAAAGAATACTACAAAGTGAAAGAACCAGGTGAAAGTCCCATATTCTGGTGAGTACAGAGTTTTTCAGTACATTAAAAAATGTAGAATGCAAACTTTAAATTTTACTTTACAGTTATTTAATATAGAATAATGAACTTAATAATGTTTAATTTTTATAGTAAAAAATATATGCTTTACATTTGGCTAAATGCATTTCATGGATTATCTCATTTAATCTTTATGACTCTTGGAAAATATATATTATTATGATTACAAATGAGCATTCCTTATACGAAAATGCAAAACATTGAAATCTGAAGCCTTTTGAATACTAACATGACACTCAAAAAGTTGCAGAATGGCCGGGGATTTAGCTCAGTGGGTCTGGAGCCTCCCTGGAAAGCACAAGTTTCCGAGTTTGATCCCCGGTACAAAAAAAAAAAAAAGTTGCAGATTTTAGAGCATTTCAGAATTGGATTTTCAGGTAAGGATGCTGAACCACTAAAATCTATGTAAACATTGCAAGATCTGAAAAACTGAAGTCTGAAGTACTTCAATTAAAATTGTCAATTAATTGTGAGGAGTAATCAACATTCACCCACACACACGCACACACACTGGGGATCAACTCAGGACCTTGTGCTTGTGAGGCAGGCGTGGCACCACTGAGCTACATCCCTGGCCTGCAAAGTTCTTTTTTTAAAATGAGGTATATATGGTTGTTTTTGTTGATGTAAAGTTTTCTTTTTTATGCCTTCATTCCTTTATGGTATACCTTTCTAGGGATGTTTTGGTAAAATATATTTGTTTTGGTTTTGTGTACATTTCCAATGGACTTTAATTCTGGGTTTATGTTTCTGCTGAAATAATATAACTAGACAATGTAGTTTGAGTCAGATATTAGTGTTAAAGGAATTTTGTTTATTTAAGTGTGTTTTAATTCCTCCCACCCCCATCCCATACCAGTAATAAAACTCAGGACCCTTCACTTGCCAGCCAGGCATAGAGCCACTGAGCTAAATCCTCGGCCTTGTTTTATTTAATTATTCATTTCTGAACTGAAAATTAGAAGTACTAATGCAAATAATAGAACTGTCTATAAGTATTTTTCTGGGATTTACCAGAATTACTGGAAATATATCAGTTGTTTATTTTGTTACTGGTATGTTCATGAGTCATCCATATGTGCTAGCTAGGTGATATTATTTTGTATATATAAATTTTACAACTGATCTTAGCTATTATAAATGTTAGTCTAGAAAGAAATGAGGTGAAAAATCACCAGTAATTTAGAACAAATTGATTATTTTCACAGTAGAGTAATTTATAATGGTATGAATGTGTTTTAAAGATGAGTTGCTATGTTTTAGACATTCAGAGATGTATCCTGAAATAATTATGGTTGAAATACTATCATGTCTAGGGTTCATTTTTATATGTATCCAGTGGAAGTGGGGTAGAGAGTAATATATGCAAAGAGAGGCAATGAGTTTAGCTGGTATATGGTTATTCATTGTTCTCTAATTTGTATAGGTTTTTTTAGTTTTCATATATTAAAAACAAATTTTGGGCCGGGGATTTAGCTCAGTGGTTCTGCCGCCTGCTTTGCAAGCACAAGGTCCCAAGTTCGATCCCTGGTACCAAAAAACCCACAAATTTCAAAGAATGTCTTCATGATAATCATTAGCATTACCTACATCAAATTAAAGTAAGATTCAAATAAATATGACCATTTCTTTTGGTCATGTGCCCCAAAAATACATGAATTTCATTCTTTCTTTCCCCCAGCGTGAGAAATTAAATAAATTGAATGGAATTAACTGGCAATCATTAAACATTGGTTGTATGATGGTCCAATAATTTGGGCAAACTTAATGAAAACAATTAATAGACATTTTTTAAAGTACCTAATGTGCTCCAGAAACCATACAGAAAGCTTTGAATAAGAAGATAAGGCCAGGTGTGGTGCTGGACTCCTGTAATCCCAGCACTCAGGAGGCTGAGGCAGGATTGCCGTTCATTTGAGGCCAGCCTGGACTACATGGTGAGACCTTGTCTCAAAAAAGCAGTAAAAAAAAATAAAATAGAATAAGACTAGCCTCAGAAAAGAAAGATTATCCTTAAGTAGAAAGGCTGAACTAAAACAAAATGTTTTCTTTGGAAGGTGTATTCAGCTCACAGGTCCACTACCGCTAATCCAGTGATAGGGAACCTTTTAGACCCCAAGTGCCAAACCGCAGTCCAAAACCTGCTTATTTATTACAAAGTGCCAACACTGCAATTAAACCTGAATATTGAGGTCTTAGTTTTGAAAAAGCACCCCATACATTAAAATCTTTTGTCTTAAAAGAAAAACACAGTAATACCCATGCCATAAGTTGTCACCACTGTTCTAATCCCTTCCCTTAAAGGGCCCATAATTTTTAAAAAATCAGATATATAATCAAATTGCAATCCATTGTGGAAATGCAGTAATGAAGATAATGGGGAAACAAGAGTGCAAATAATTCTGCTGAGGGTTTAATTCAATCATCAGAGAAAACAACAAGAAGGACTTTTCAAATATGATTAGTAGAAGCTTACCAGATAGAAGAAAGGCATTCTAGGAGGAGATTGACAAGGAGAGGATTGGGGCTTACAAGTGCATGGCATAATCACAGAACAAACAAGGAGTAATGGGGCTGGAAAGAGCCCTGCTATGGTTTGAATGTTGCCAATGTGATAGCATTAGAGGGAGGCCTTGAAGAGATAATTAGCCCATAAGGTTGCTTCCATGGGAGTGAGATTGATTAAGGCCCTTATGAGAGTTTGGTCCTTCTTGTCCTTCTGCCTTCTTCCACATGGGGACGCAGTGCTCTTCCCCTCTGGAGGTTGCGCTATCAAGACACCATCTTAAAAGCAGAGAGAGCAGCCTTCACCCAACAGCTAAATCTGTCTGTCTATATACCGTGCCCTTGGACTTCCCAATACATTTCTATTCTTTATAAAATACCTAGTATTGAGTATTGTTAGAGCAGGACAAATGGCCCAAGAGAAGTCCCGCACACCATGTTGATGAGTTCGGACTTCACTCAATACACAGTGTATAAGGTGGGAAATTGGAGGTTTTATCCAGGTAGGTAACATGTAAAACTCATATTTAAGGTAGGTTTATTTTTCGTAAAGTAGCAGTTCTTTTTCTTTCTTCTTCTTTTCTTCTTTCATTGTTTATTGGTACATTTTAGGTATAAAATACAGTTACATTCATCATTGGGTTCTTGTGCCTTTACGTGATGTATCTTGGTTCTTATTTTTTCCCCTTCCCCTGCCCTGCCTTCACCCCCTCCACCTTTCCCTATTTGCAAAGACTTTGTTTCCATTTTTTTTCCTTTTCTCATATTTTTTCTTTTCCCTTCTTTCCATTTCCCTACCCCTCTGACTTCCCCTACTCCTTTAGACCTTTTCTTCCTATTATGCAATATCAATTATACATTGCTTTAATAACAATATCAAAATTTAGAGGATTTACCACAGATTTTACAGAATTTAAAAGGATATAGAAAGCATATTACAAAAATTTTTTTGAAATAAATTTGACAACTTCTAAGAAGTACCTTAGAAGATAAATTAATGAAACTAACTCTGGAAGAACTATAAAATTTGAATAGCACCTAATAAAGAAAGTATATTCCTAGCCTGAAAACCTACCTGTATGACAACAACAGGCTCATATACATTTTAACTGATGAATTATATCAAACATTTAAAGCAGATAAAAGAATGAATACTTCTCCCCTCATTTGAGGAAATCAACATTGTGCCGATACTAAAACGATAAAGATAATAGAAGAAAAAAGTATGAACATAGATAAAAATTTGTTTAAGAAAACAAACTATTAGAAGTCAGATCTGGCAGTATGTAGAAAGTGGTTTTATTATAGGGATGGCAGTGTTGGTTCAGCATTGGAAGATCCACCCCCATAAGTCATTTTAACAGAGGAAAGGAAAAAGCCATATGATCCTGTCATTAATTGCATAAAAAGTATTGGACTAAATTCTACAGCTGTTCTTGGTAAAAGCTTTCAGGGGAATACAAGTAGAACAGAACAGAAGTAGAACAGATAAGACATGTACTCTATACTTCCAGCAAAAACACCTTACACGAATGGAAAAAATAAATGCTTTCTCCCTAAGGTGGGGAACAAGGGGAGATATGCCTATTCTTCATCTGTCCATTAAACTTTGAAACATAGGCCCAAACCAAAATAGTCTGGCAATAAAAAGAAGCAATTAGCATAGGCTTGGCAAGGTAGAAGTAAAATCTTTATATGTAGATGAAATGATCATCTACAGAGAAAATACTAATAAATCTCTAAGACCCTCTAGAACTTGTATTTGAATTTAGCAGGATTAAAAAACACAAGGTATATATAAAAATTCAGGTCTATGTGTACTTGCTGTAAATGAAGAATTGGATATTGAAATTTAAAAGTTATGTAGGAGTAAAAGGATCTAGAAAAGTAAAAAGAAAAAAAGTGTTGGAAGACATTTAGTACCTAATTTTAAGACTTCCTGTAAAGCCACAGTAATCAAGGCAGTGCTGGTGTAAGGAAAGACACATAGATTATTGGAATAAAACAGAGAATCTAGAAATAGAACCACACATATATGGTCCACTGAGTTTTGAGAGATTATTTAGCATTAACATTTTATAGAACATAAACTCAACTCAAGAGCAGAGGAAAAGATAGTGTTTTCAGCAAATGGTATCAGAATACCTGTTACATGAATGTAAAAAAATTAACCTCAACCCTTTATTTTCCTACATAAAAATAACTTGAAGGGATCTATGAACCTAAATATGAAAGACTAAAACTATAAAACTTTAAGAAGAAATTATAAGGGAAACTGTTCATGAATTTAGGGTAGGCTAGGATACAAAAAACATGATGTATGAAAGAAAAAAATTAATAAATGAGATTCTATCAAAATGTAGAACTTCAAAAGACATTGTTAAGAAAATGAAAAGTAAAAAAAAAAAAAGAAAATGAAAAGTAGTCCTTAAACATACCATATGTACAATACATAT